CTTAACATGTACGAAACTGAACTCGGCCACTTCCTCCTCATCACTTGCTCCTCTTTCCAGTGCTCCCACCTCAGGATGGATGTGGCTCCATTGCCTGCTCTGCTGCTCAGGCTGGAAGACTGGGAGTGAGCTTTACAAATTTCTGGGATACTTATTCCTTATTTCCAATCAAGGCTACCTGATCTAATCACAACCCTCTTTTAGACAAAATGCAAAACCCTGACCCTGCCCTAACAGGAACACTATGATTTGGTCCTTCCATATCTGCCCACCCACCCCTGCTCAGTCTCCCCTTCAACCACCTTGGCCTCTTCAGTTCCTTGACGAGACCATGCAGTTTCCCAACTCCTGCTTTGGCATATGCTGTTCTGCTCCCTGGAATAATCTTCTCCCATCCATGCCCTCCTCCTTAGTCTCCCACCTCCTACTTCATTCAGGTGCCTCCTGCTCGTTGTTTAGCTCCCTGGCAAAATGTCCCTTTCTTCCCTGGTCCCCTAGTCTAAAGCAGATCCTTTGTTACATACTCTCCTGTGTTTTCACCTGGCTATTAGCACATTTAGGAGTTACCTACTTACATGCAGAAGTATTTATTTAAATAGCCCCAGGGTCTCCCACTAGACTAGAAACTCCTGGAGAACAGAGCTATTTCCCTCTTTAACTTTATGACTCTGCCCCAAGGTCTGGCACAATCCCTGATTGTGAGAGAGCACATATCAGTATATTTTTAATAAATGGAAGAAAGGAGGCAGATGGAGTGCAGTTTAGTCCCAATAGGTCAGGGAAGGCCCCTGAAAGGAGCTGAGAGCTGAGCCACAATTTACAGTTCCATGGGGTAAAGGAAGGGGCAGATGGAAACCCTGCCTGGCCAGTTCCTACTCCAGCCCCAGCCCACGACAGAGAGAGCAGCCAGAAGAGAATCCCTACCTCATTGCCAGCACCTGGCAAGAATGTCTTCACTTTGATCGTCTTCCCCGGGGCTGGGAAGGGCGACTCCATGAGACTCCTCATGAAGGGGTAGACCAATGCCGCGGAGATCCCACGCCGGCGCTCCACCTCGTCGAGGACCTGTGCCCACCACCAGCAGCCCACAGAGAAAGAGTGTCAGGAGTGGCCCTTGCCCACCTCCTGGGCAGAGGAGAGCCCAGTCTGGCATCTGATCACGCTGGGTTAGAAGCTGAAAGATGGGAAGACTGTACTACCAGGACCTTCACACCTGTTATGGTTTGATCTGAAATGTCCCTTAAAAGCCTCATGAGTTTGGAAGGTGACTGGATCATGGAAGCTAAATGTGCTGTTAGGCAGTGGGGCCTGGCTCGAAGCAGTGGGCACTGATGGTGTGTCCTGGAAGAGTGTATCTTCCTGCCCAGGTCCTCCTTTCTTTCTTTGCTTCTTGGCCGCTGTGGCATGAGCAGCTTTCCTCCACTATGCCCCTCTGCCATGCCATTCTGCCTTGGAGCCATGGACCATGAACCAAAAAAAGCCCTCCCTCTTCAAGTTGCGGGTGTCAGGTGTTGTATCCCAGAGACAAGAAGGTGACTAAGACACTACTGCTCCCATTTTGCTTGGTACTCAGTGACTGCTCTTTCCCTTCACTGGCCTTGTTTCAGTCCCCAAGAGCAGAGTAGCTAGGCAAAGACAGTATCACTTAGAGTCAGCTCTCGGGCCCTGCCTGGTTTCCCCAAGGGCTCTGGCTCTGCCTTCAGCCTGGGGTGGGCTGTGCAAAGAGCAGGCAAATGCTACAGAGTGAGGCTTGGGAAGAGGAGTGAGTCCGAGAGCTCACTTGCGCTTGCTCTTGCATTCCCTCTCTCCCGCCCTCTCTCTTACAGGTGGTTTTCTCATCTAAGCTGGCTGCAGATTCTCCTGCGGGAGTTGTCAGCTGGGGGTGGGGAAGCAAGCCAGAGCCTCTTACCTTGGAAAACAAGCCGAAGCAGCCAAGGCGGCTGATGACACAGTATACCTCTGGCAACCGAGGTCCCTTCCCACTCGGCTGGGCCATAACAAGGAGGAGAGAGAGAGACAGACACAGAGAGTGCATGAATACCACAGTCTGGCTCCTTTTCCTGGAGACCTGAGGACTAAGTACTGCCCTTCTACTGGAGGAAGACTCCACGCCTCCTCTAAGTTCACCCAGGTCCCCAAAGGTAAGACCACCATTCTTCAGAGGCAGAATTTGGCCCCTGCTGGGTCTTCTAGCCCACGGTTCCAGGCCCTACACAGGCTCCACCCTTCCTCCCAGGAGGACACTGACTGTGGATGGCAAAGGACAAAGCAGTTTGTTAGGGGCTGCAAGCGATTTATGGATTTACACCCTAAGCCTGCGCCCCAGTGGATGTGATGGTAATGGGGACTTAGGTGCATTCTTAAGAGTAAGCCGTGCAGCCTTATGCCCTCACAGGGGACATTCTGCAAATAAGCACTTTTCTCTCTTCTTTGGTCCAACACCCATTCTAGGAAGGCAAACTGACAACAGACGAGAGAAAGGAACTACTACTTATTAAATGTTTACTTTATCTAAGTGCTAGGCTTTGTACTATACCCCAAAAATATCATCCCCACTTTACAGATGAGACAACTGAGTCTGAAACTTTGAGTCATGCCTAAGGTCATGTATCTAAAGGTTCCAGACCCAAGAAGTTGTTTTGGCTTCTGTTTTTGCTTTCTTACCTCCGCAGCATGCTGCTTTCTGATAGGGAGGAAGGGAAAGGGACACAAAGACACAGGATAGAGGTATGCTACAAAGTGAAGAAGAACAGAGAAAAAAGGGATTTAAAAGGTAGGCACATGGAGAAGGGGAAATACGCTGTGAGCTCCCCAAGCCCGGAACCCCCACACGGAGGCTGGGTAGGTCCCTGGTGCCCATTCTCCAGCAAGGGGCTGGCAGGACCCCATGGCTGCCTCTGGCCTCAGAGGCCAGGAGCACTTGGCAAGGCCCAGTGGGGAGGAAGCAGAATAGCAGGTGCTGGCCCCTCATGCAGGCTGCTAAGCAAACGCAGATGGGGCTATTTCAGTCTCCAAACCTGCTGGCCACACATCACCGATCTAAAGAGAAGGCAGAATCTGTTTTTGTCCATATTAGGCCTGAAACTCACTCCTCTCTCTTTCCCTCTCTCCCGCCTCCCCTAAAGCCCCAAGTGATTAAATCAAGTATGTGGGATTTGGGTTAGAATCATTGTGTCCAATCTGCAGGAATGCCGAGTTAGTGCCAGCCCCCTTGGCAGGGACCCAGCCCAGGCCCTCTGTGAGAGTGCCAGGACAAACATGCTCTTCCCTGGGGGCAGCAGGCCCACTGCAAAGAAGCAGCTCTACTCCTCAAAGTCAGGATTTGGAATACCCCTCTCTGGGCCCTGGGGACCTGGGGCATACTGGCCTCTTCCGGGCTCCCCACCTAGCATCTGGACTGCTCCATATTCCCTTAGTGCCACTCACTGGGCATCCAATATTCAAACAGCCCTTCCCCCTGGACTATCTTTGTGAGGGATCCATGAGTGCCAGATTGGTGATAACAGACTTGGCGTCAATTCTAACTCTGTTCTTCACTGGCTGTGTGACCTTGGGCAAGTCATTCCATTTCAGAATCTCAGTTTCTTCATCTACAGATCAGGGATAACAGTATTACGAGGCTTCTAAAGGAAACAAAACTAGATATTTAAAACATCTACTTTGGAACACGATAGGTCCTAAGCAAAAGTTTATTCCGCTTCCCTACTAGACTAGCTAAAGTTCTTTGAGGGTTGCATCCATAAGAAAGTCATGAGCTTACAGCCCCTAGCCTGGCCCTCAATAGGTATCTGATCAGTAGTTATGAATGAATGAATGAATGAATGCATGGCCTGCAATCCTTCTTTTAGGGTTCCTGCTATGTACGAGCCTGCTAAGGATCTCCTTCATCTATTCCTAGAGTGGTATCTGGGGAGGTCTTCTTTCATTGAGGTCTGGAAACCCCAGAACATTGTTAATAACCCAATGACCGCCAGGGATAGTGTAATAGGGGCCAGGCTCTGGCCCTGGTCTTCCTCTGACTCTCTGTGCTTCTATCTCAGACTCTTTCCCAGGACTGATGGGAAGGGAGAATAAGTTTTTCTTCTTAAAAAATGACGGATTTTCAAAACCCAAGGTCTTTCCCCTCAGTTTAAGGTATCTGTCCCCAAATGCTAGAGAAGGTACTTCTCTGTCCCTGTTCAGACTCTATCTTACCAGACCACGGATAGGACTCCTCCCCACATCAGGCTGGCCAACTGTGGGGCTGAGGAAGGCTGTCCTCCACCCACTCTGATGTACGTACACATACTTCTGGGGGTGACGGGACTGCAAGCAGAGATTGGCAACCAGAGCCCATAACCCCCAGGAAGATAAATGAAAAGAGAAAGGATAGCAAAGATAAAAAGATATGGCAACTCAGTAGAAGGTGACCCATCCCCTCCCCTTACTGTAGATAATCCTACATCCTGGGGTCCAACCAGGGAGGCTGCCCTGAGCATGCTATCGCAGGAGTGCCTCGTCTGTGAAAGTGTGTGTGTTGGGGGAGTACTTGGGGAGAAGACCACAGAGTTTCATATGAGCTGAAGGTGCAGAAGAAATACAAACACCCTGGCCCATCCCCTAAGGAATGAGTGGTCCTACTCACCAGTAAGCGCCGGCAATAGCCAAAGCGTCTGCTGCCATCTTCCCCCGTCAGCATGAAAGAAAAGGTCTCACTGGAACAGGTAAGAGGGAGAGGTCAGTCATCAGAGACGTTACCAGAGGACCCAAGAATAAAGACTGTCATCTCGGGGGTGGGGTGAAGGGCCGGGCTGCGGTAGAATAGGTGGGGATCAGGGCAGGCCCCACTCAGCAGCCCACTGCTATGTCCCCTTCCTCCCTCCAGCCAGCCCAGGCCTCACCTGCTATACTCTGACACAGGGAACCAATCCTTGGCATCTGGAAAGCAAAACTGAGGAATGGCTTTGAGCCTTTCCTCTGCCTCGCGCATCTGCTTGGTGGGTCGGTCCAGCTGTCAGAAGAGGAATGTGAAGAGAGGTCACCAGATGACAAGGAACCTGGGGACAAGGGTCGGGGTGGCTGAGAAGCATCTCCTCCCCTGAGAGCCTCAGGTGCCACCCTACCAAACCTCTTGCTTCTCAGCAACCTCTGTTCCATGCCTACTTCTTGCAGAGGCCTGAGTGTAAGTGGAAACATCATTCACTCCTTTCCTTCATTCAATAAAGGCCAACGAAGCACCTTACATGTGGCAGCTAACAGTGTGCTGGGGCTGTGCATGGAAACAAACTGGACAAGGTCCCTAGTCCTGCACATTCTGGTCAGGAGATGAGAAAGTCAATAGCGTCTCAGAGTGTGCCCCACAGGAAACAAGCACAGTGATGTGCGAGGACTGGCCAGGAGGAGGGGCTACATCGGGGCCTCGGAAAGACCTTGGAAAGAGGTGTCACTTGAGCAGACTGAAAAATGAGAATGAGCCAGCAGCCACGGGAAGAGCCGGAGATAGAACATTTCAGGCAGAGGCAATGGCAGAGAGAAAGGGCTTACGAATTAAATGAAGACAAGGGAGGCCAGGCTGGCTGGCGATGAGCAGAGGAACAGTAAGAGATAAGGTAGGTGAGGGAGGTGGGGAGTGACTGCTAGTGGGTTCGGGGTTTCTTTTGGGGGTGATACATGTTCTAAAATTCACTGTGGTGATCATTTGTACAGCTCTGTGACTATACTAAGGAACACTGAATTTTTTTTTTTTTTTTTTTTTGGACCGGGGATCGAACTCAGGTCCACTGAGGTAAATCCCCGGCCCTAAGGAACACTGAATTTAAAAATGTAAATGGGTAAATTCGATCTCGAAAAAGTGGCTAAGAAGTGGGGGCAGGCAGGAGGAGTGGCTACGGTCATTTCTCAAGACCCTGCAATCCTGGTGCACAATCGGGGGCACAATTGTGCTCTGAGCCCTCAGCCTCTGAATGAGCCTGGCCCAAGCCCACCCCATCTTCCCTCCTGGCTGTGAGGCGGTGGGCTGAGGGCTGGGGCAGCTGGTGGGGCCACAACAGAAACAGGATCTCTTCTTCCCATGCGGGCCACGCAGACAAAAAGGGCAGAGGAGGGAGCTGGGGGTGGAGGGCTGGGAGGGGCTCACCTTGGGGAACTGGTAGGAGACCTCAGGGAGGTAAGTGTTGCGGGACGGCTTCTTCTTGAGGGACACTACCACAAAGTACTCGAAAAGCTCCCGCTCCTGCCACTCAAGCAGCTCCAGCTCCAGCGTCCGGTAGCTGGGTGCGCGTTTCAGCATTGACTGGATGTGGACCAGGCGCTGCGTGTGAGCTGCAGCAGGGTGGGTCACACATCAGAACATAAGCAGACCTCCCCCGAGCCCACTCCACCCGACTCAGGGCTCTCCCTCTGCCTATCACCTGAAGTGCATAAGCTGTGTCTGCCACTCTCCCCCAGTGAGGTTCGGGGCAGCAGTGGCAGCAACAAGATGTCTATACTTGCACAAAGATTCTACTCTAACATGGAGAGGTACTGGCCTGGTCCTGCTGGAGCCAGAACTGGGCCAACAGGGCTGCAGAGGCCAGGCAAACCCAAGGACACAGCACTGGCACCCACGCTGTCATCCCTCTTGGGAGGGTATGAACCAGGAGGTATGGACATCTACAAAGCTTCACCCTTGTATTTGGGCCTTCTGTCCCTGTCCTTAAGTCCGAAGTCTACAGGCTGATTTGCCTGGAGGACCAGTGGAGAAAGGGAGGAGGGAGCAAGCTCCCACATACTTTGAATAGATATCTAGGAAGGTCTGGGCAGCGTTTCCTGGTAACCACAGAGATTTGTCCAAGGCCCCAGATATGTGAAGGTCCCAGAACCTGTTCAGGGACGTGCCAGACTCCTCTCTGGAGACAGAGAGATGGGTGGCCTCATAGTCTCCAGAGGACCAGTTTCTACAGTCTACGGGACAATTCTTGCAACTAGAAGAGGTACTTGTAATCTAAACCTATCTCTGATCCTCCAGATTGACATTCACCAGGTAAATCTAGTCCCCAGTTCCTATGAACAGTGGTTTGGGAAAGTATAGTAGAGGTAGGGTCTTCAGCCTTTAATTTGGCAAAGGGAGGCCAATGTTTAACAATGCAGGACTGAGGTGTAAGGGTGGACTTCCCTGTAGCTTCCTGCTATGTAGTGGCCTGGTGGCCTGGCTGTCCCTCGTCTCTCCATACCAGGCCAGACTGGGACAATGGAACCACACATGCAGAGGAAAGGAGGCTGATTTCAGGCATCCAGGGCCGGGAAGGGGCACTGAGCCTCACCTTTGAACCTGTCATCAGAGTCGCTCTCACTCTCACTGTTCTCATCTGGAAAAGTAACAGCAAGAATGAGTCTCCCCACAGCAGAGTTCCTGGTGCACCCCCTGCTCCCTACTTTTCTCAGCTAGAGTATCGGTACCTCATCTAGGCTGCTCCAACAGGCCCATGGGAAGGCACCTGTAGGAAGGAACTAAGAGGCCTGGGTCCAGGGTCCCCCAGAGCTCAACCTATACATGCTAATCTACAAAACCCCTATCCTGGCCTGATTTGATAAGGGCCCAAGTTGGAGGCTGAGTGAGCAGAGAGGCCTACAGGCCTGGACCTTAAGCGCCCTTCCTCCAGCAAGCCAAGATTGAAATGGAAAACAGACCATAGTGCTCAGTAACTCTGGCCTTTCCTTTGGCCAGAAGCACATCTCCACATCCACCTCCCTACTTAGGGCCTCACTGCCCAAAGCCTGAGGGAACCCATCCCAGGGCTGACTCCCCTCTCTAGCCCTCCCTCCTATATAGCTATTTCCTCCTAGAAGGACCCCAGGGTGGAAGGGGAATCTGAGGCCAGTCTCTGACAGTCCCCAATCCTAATGCCTAAGGGCCCCCAGGTAGCTGACTCAGCTCAGGCATCAAGACCTACCTCTCAGTGATGCTGTCTCAAGGCTGGACATAGACAGCTTTTTTAATCTCTTCTTTCCCCTCTTGGCATTGTAGATGGAGTTAATTCTTTGGACAAGCTGGGTGAGAAAATCAGGGAGGGTGAGGTAACCCTAACACCAGCTGTCCCTACTTCCAAGAAGGTGGATTAGGAGCCCATCCTTTCCCTTACTGGTGCAAGCTTCCTGTACTCCATCCACCGGGCCCAACCTGGTCTTCCCTCTGAAGTGACTCCAAGTGGAGTCTTACCAGCCATGCCCAGGAGCTCTCCATCTACCCTGTGCCCTAGGAGTGGTCCCCTGCCCCAAGACAAGGACACTAAACTTAGCTCCCCAGAGGAAGGAACTGTGATCAAACTAGACAGGATGGGAGCTCCTGGGTCCCAAGAGCCATTGAAGCAACTAAGACAAAGAGCGTCTCAGATGCAAAAACAGGAACAAGGATTCTAGCCTTTCCCCTGCGGGCCGCAACCTGGGCCCCTGACAGGAAGAAGCTAAATTCCCAATATACCCAAGCATTGTTTGCAGGCTAAAAATATCATTTGGCTAAATCCTGCTGCTTTGGGTTGGGGACTTGGGCCTGACTGCCATGTGTGGGACTCACCACTGAAAATTCTTCCATTTCAAGAGTTATAGAAAGAAAGACTGATGTTAGAAGCCTAAGGTCCCTGAAAGTCTAGAAATGTTTATGTGTACCCAGAAACCCCAATGTTCACACATCATACTCAGTGACAGGGAGTCACAGCTAGGCATTTCTTTCTGTAACATCTGAGCACCAAGAGGCAGCTCATACATCCATGTAGAAAAGAACAGGGAACTAACCAGGTAAAAAAGAGGCCAGTGTGCAGACCCAGAATCTACTGAAAGGGAGTTGAGGAGGCAGCTCAGATTGGAAAGGAAGGAAGGCAGAGAAGAGCTGGCTGGCTGCCTGCCCACCTGGCTGACCCATGGGCTCTGTGCAGGGAGGATACCTTGGGGACGCGGCGGGCCCGGCGGCTGGACAGCAGCTCACTGGCGGTGCTGAGGCTGTCCTCGTTGAGGCTGGAGGGTGAAGATGGCAGGCTCAGCTGAGCCAGCAGCAGCATGTCATCGTGGCTGTGCCGCTTGGGCAAACGTGGCAGCCGGTGGCTCTTCCTTTCTGACCAGTTCCCACTGCGCAGGGACTGGCTGCTGGGTTTCAGGGAAAGCTGGCATGGGGGACAGGATATGGGAGAGGGGCTCACCACAAATGCGCTGGCCTGTACCCATTTGCTGGGATGTAGGCAAAGAAGCCATGAGCTGGCATCCTTGGCTCCCCTCAATCTATCCTGCAAGTTTCACCCACCAGAGCTGCTGCTTTAAGACCTTACCTCTTAATTGGCCAAGTCAGGGATAGATTAAATACTTTCTTCCCAAAAGGATACATCACTCCTTCTTCCAGAAAAAGAAAGAATGGAATGGAATAGAATGGAATAGAATAGAATAGAATAGAATAGAATAGAATAGAATAGAATAGAATAGAATAGAATAGAACAGAACAGAACAGAATAAAGGAAAAGAGACAAGAGGCTAAGGATCCTATACTCTCATCTGAGTAGAAAGGGAAGGTGAAGCAGGAATTCTCCAGGCATCATCTGAGCTTTAGGACAAGGATTACTGAGCCTGGACCACAGAGCCTTTCTTCCCCACGTCCCCACTGGGCCAGTCCCAAAAGGCTTCTGCTAGCCGAAGCCATCACCTACATCCAGCCTACACTGTTGGGTGATCCTGGCATCCCGCTGTGCTCTCTTCTGCCAGGGATAGCACAGGGCTCTGGGCTCTGGCGACCAATGCTAGGCAAGGCAGGCCTCAGACTCAACTGGCTCCCTCACTACATCGTCCTGGGCTTGCCCTCTCTCCAGCCTTGATCTATTTTTCTGCTTCCCTTCATCTATGCTTTGGCTTTTCAGTACAGGGCACCTTTCTGGCAGTGGGACCTGCATACTGCTAGAAGGCAGGCACCCCAAGGAGCCCTGCACGCACTGTCTCAATCTGAAATTCTCTCTGCTTATTCTTCAGCACATCCTCCTTTCTCTCCACACCCCTCAATTTCCTCTTCCCATCCAATCAGTCTGGCAATATAAATTCAGTGGAAGCCTGTCTGAACAGAGCATGTGAGAAGGGCAAATCTTTTATTTTATTTTATTTTATTTATTTATTTATTTATTTATTATTTTGCAAATCTCTTATTAAAAGCAATCACGATGACTCCAAGATCAGAAGAAATCATTTATATATTCTCTGGCCAATGTTATAAAATATCCATGTCTACCATTTGCATAGATTAAGAGTTACATGGGAGGTCAGAAAAAGCCTCTCTTCTTCCTGATTCTCCTGCTTCCTGTCACCCTAACAAGGCCAGAATGAGGTTATATCTAACACCTTCCTTTGGCTTTCTGCCCTTCCATTCTGACTTCCTCTAGTCCATTCCTCAAAGAGTCATTCTTACTTCCTCCACTAAAAGCAGGTCCAGATATCATCTGGTTCTCCAAACCTGGTTTGAAGACCTACTATCTGTTCAGAGTTGCAGAATACCAAGACTCCCACCAGGGCTGCCTTCATGTTTCCTACAGGAAGGGAGGAGGAAAGGAAGATAGCAGACTGCAGGGGTTCCTGGCTGTTTTGCAGCTCAGAGCTCAGGCAGAGAGAGAAAGAAGGTAGGACAGGATGCCTCTGAGAGCATATCTCAACAGACCACAGAGGTCTCACCATGGCCTAAGACTCTGCATACAGAGCGCTTTCCTGAGGCAATTTCCTCACCAAGTCTAATGAGGGTGCAAGCCTGAGTGGAAGCTGGGCCCGCCCCTCGGGAGGACAGGCCCTCGTTGTGGCCCTCATGCTCACACTGGGGCTGCATTACCTGCATGGGTGGGTTGTTGTACTTCCTGTCCTGAGGACTCCACATCCTGTGCAAAGAGTCCAAGGAGTTCTCAGACAGTTGCTGAGGTTTTCGTCCGGCTCTTCGGCTCTTTAAGTCCACATCCTCATATGGATTCTCCTTGGGCAGCTCTCCTGAAGAGAAGGAAAAGTTAGAGAAGGGGGAGAAGGGAAGAAGGAAACACACACACACACACCACACACACACACACACACACACACACACACACACACACAAATAAACAAGCAGAATTCCTGTGAACCAGAGAATGGCTTTTGCCTGGCTCCTTCGGCTCATGAGTCATGCAGCTGCCTGTCTGCAGTGGGGAGGCTACAAACAGTTTCTGGCTCTAAGTGCAGAAGCTGAGCGTCACCCCCACCCCCTCGCCCCCCACCTTCCACCTCCAGTTCAGCTCAACTCAGCCTTGTCTGGCTTCTGCTTTATAAATTCAAGGATTGCACAACACTGGCTAAGCTACCCCTGCCTGTGCCCAGTCAGAGGACAGAGCCAACCCTAGGACTCTGTCCTTGGCTCCAGTCCTTCTGCTAGAAGAGCTAGAACAAGAAAGGCGTTCAGCGGTCACACACCTGTCCCTTTATGCAACTCACAGTGGGTCTCCCAGGGAAGAACTCAAAGGACTCTAGAGAGCAGAGCTTTGGCAGGCCTCTGTCTCACCTACTGCACTATTCAACAAGTCTTTTAGGTCAGGAATATTGTCTGAGGCAACCCCAAATCCAGAAGAGAGATGAGCAAGCAGTAAGTATTCCGTAATTATTTGCTCAATGGATGTCTCTTAGAATAGCGTTGGTTTATTTCCTCTACTGCTGATCTCAGCAAGAACCATCACTCCTCCTTTGGCACAAACTCTCCTGCTGTGACATGGGGGGGGTGAATTCTTGGAAGAAGTCTGGGCCAGGGTGGGGGTGGAGGAGTTCTTGTTTCTCAGGACCAATTTCTAAAATCCCCGGCAGTGGGCACTGTATTGGTACTAGCAGAAATATCTCAAAGTCCAAAGTACATTCCCTGCCCTGAAGACCACAAGATTTTGAGAGGTACCCTTTCTCACAGGGTATTCTCTCCTGCTCCTACCTCCAATACAAAACTAGACTTTTCTACAATACAATAAACAATACCACAAGTCACATCAGTGCTGGTTTAATCCCAGCAGTAGAATCATGGTAAAGACAAAGTCCTTGAGGACTTGGAAAGAATACAACCCTCCCCCCACCTCTGCTTGTCTTTCTGTATCCTTCCGCCCCTCACCCCCTAGTTCCAAAACCAATGTCCAGAACTTGGGACCTAGGAATGGTGTCAACAACAAGGCTTCTCACTCCTGCATCAGCAGCAAGATTCAGCTTGGATGACCACGTAGCCCTACGCCTGTCCCACAGATGCCTAGATGTGCTTAAGCCCCAGAGCAGCTCAGGTACCATCCTCAGAGAGCAGGCAGAAGCACTACAGGGCTGAGAACTGCTGGGATTGCAAGCTTGTCTAGATAAGACATGGGGAGAAAGCTATTCCTATGCACTTACAGATTCCTCAAAAAGCTGAGCGGGTCAGGGATTTAGCTCAGTGGTTCTGCCACCTGCCTCAAAAGTGCAAGGTCCCGAGTTTAATCCTCAGTAGCAAAAAAAAGCTAAGGGTCCCCCAAATTGTAACATCTACTTACCACTATCATGAAAAACCAGAGTGAATTTAGAAAATGCATTTACAGAGGTGGGGTGGGGTGAAGGGAGGATTTCAGTCACAGCTAAATAGACTGGAGTGGGAGCAATACAAATCTCTGTAAACGTATGAGTCAGGTTTGGGTCAAGAAAAGATGAGGGGCTGGATTAAGTGATTCCCAATACCAAGCAGTGCCCCCAGCAATGGAGCAGACCTTTTCCTGTAATACAGTCATGCTACTAAAATGACTTGTCTCCATTCCAGGGCCCTGACTAAGCAGAGCCAGCCCAACACCCCGGCCTCGAGAAGTCAAATATTGAACCCGCCACCCCTGCATGTTTTCTCCAGCCCAACCAGCCAGGGTGAATTTTCTACTTCTTAGTGCCCTCCCCTCAACAACAAAAAAACATACATCTTGCAAGGTGAGGTGGTAAAGAAGATGAAGAGTGGAGGAGTGCCAGGACACATTCCTGATCCTGTAAAACAGGGCCAAAGCATCACTGTCCAGATCTTGGCAGAGAGAACATTTATTCCAAGCTCATCAAATCCAAACTCTCTTGGGCTGGATGGCCAATTAGAATCATCCCCAACCTATAGAAAGCTATTGACATTCTGAGTTGGTGGGCTGACCTATTCATAGGATGGTTAGCAGCAAACCATGGCCTCTATCCACTGGCTGACAGCATCTCTCAGTTGTAACAACCAAAAATGTCCCAGACAATGCCAATCCCACCCCACCCCTGAAGATGGATGAATGGCTGAATGGAAGGGAGGGAGGGGAGAAGGGTGAACTGACCCCTCATTGAGAACCACTATTTTGTTTTGTTTTGTTGTGTTTTATTTATTTATTTTTGGTACCGGGGATCAAACTCAGGCCTTTGAGCTTGCCAGGCAGGCTGCCGAACCACTGAGCTAAATTCCCAGCCCTGTTTTGTTTTATTCTTTGAGACATAGTCTCACTATGTCATTCAGTCTGGCCTTGAACTATGTAACTTACTTCAAACTTCCAGCCTTCTGAGTGCTAGGATTACAGGTTTGCGCCACCATGCCCAGCAAAAACCAACGGTTTTGATACATATTCTTAAGCTTCCTAAAATATTGTGTGTGTGTGTGTGTGTGTGTGTGTTACTGGGGTTGAACCCAGAGGCCAGGGAAGGCCCTTTTTTTATTTTTTTGAGACATGGTCTTGCTAAGTTGCTAAATTGCCAAGGCTGGGCTCAAACTTGCAATCCTCCTGCCTCAGTCCCAGAGTTCTGGGATTACAGGCGTGTGCCAGCACACCTGGCTTTAACAGCTTCTGAGTACTAATGCAATAAATTCCAAGTTTAACCCTCTTCTCCTCCATTCTTCCCCTCCTTCTCCTTTCTCTTTCCTTCCTTTTCCTCCCAGAATCAGTTTTGAATACAATATCTAAAGTTCCATGAAAAAGATGTAAGATATGAAGGCCCAGAGAACAGATGTACACTGTGGACACATACCAATGACAACCTAGGGGGAGACAGTTGGAAACACCAGGTTTTCTATACTAGTACTGTACTGCCTCTGGAAACTAGATTGTAGGAAGGCCTCAAATCATGTCTCCCCAGCCCCACTGGCAGCCTCTTTCTCCTTTGATATAAGCAATCCACTAATCATTTCTCCAGGAAATGACTGCCGGCCTCAGCCCAAGACTTGCCTCCCCAGCCTCAGCTTGCTCCATATTCACACTCATACTCCACAGGGCACCCCCAACTTCAAGTCCGTTCCTGGCAACCCCTCTGGAGCTGTTTTACAGACATCTCCTGGTCATCTCTCCAGGTGGGATGGGTGCCTAGGGGATGGGGATGCATAAAGACCAAGCATACTCTGAGTCCCAGAGCCACTAAATTAAATTTGCTACAAACAAGTATATAGCAAAGCAAAGACCCCAGCATCCTACAAGGCAGTACCACTACAACACAGCTGGAGAGGCTAGAGCTGAGAGGAGAAGTATGGTGATGATTTAGCAGGCATGGGTGGGAGACAGGAAGTGTGGCCAAGTGTAAGACTTTCACCTGCATCCCTGCCATGCACCTTGCTCAGGACAGTCCACACTGCGCTGGGAGAGAGACAAAGTGGTAGCTCCCTTCTCAGGAAGTCTGTCCCTGAGCAGCGCCATCTCATCAAGCTCAGCTGGGGAAGCCAGAGGTCTCAAACTTTCCCAGCTTTGTTGATGAGATAAGGACAAGGGCATCTCCAAGAATTTCTGCTTTACACTCTTCTAAAGGGAGCCTGTCAGAACCCAAACTTATCACACTGATCCTCTGGAAGCAAGGCCCAATCCCCCCCCACACACACCCAGCCCCTTGGGTCTTTAGCCACTGGTACCGTTCCCCACCCCTCCTTCTCCCTCACAGCTGGAAGAACCAGTTAGGAGGGGAGTGTGTGCATCTGCACAGGCCCAAGAATTTCTCCAGAGTCCAAGCTTTGGGAACCACAACCATAGCAAGGGTCTTGGGTCTCACTTTCTTCCCCAACCCTCCTCTGGTACCAACTAGCTGTTTCTCCTGGGTCCCCCATTTTTCTCTCTCTCACAGCAAAGAAAAGGCTGGCTTAGGGGCCCAACTTCCCTGGAGCCCGCTGTTATCCACCCTCCAAGCCTGGACACCAATTCCCAACAGTCCCAGAACCTTTCCCTGGGCTGCACCTCTTGGCTGCTTTGCTTCCTGATGCCACCTCCATCCTGGTAGGTACCCTCTGTTCCTTACTGTTGCCCAGCCTGGGGGTGAATGAGACAAGGCAGAGAGAGTAGAAGCTCAAAAGGCTTTGCTGCACAGACCGGCTGGTCCTGTCCCCAGCTCGCATCCCACTGAAGTTCCTGGAAGCTCTCCCTCAGCCCCAGCTAGCTGATGGGAGTGGGAATCTCGGCAGGAATGCAGCCTGGGCTCCTTGGTCAGGCGCCGAGGGCACTCCACATAACTCCTTAACAAGCTGCTTCCTTGGGTACATTTTTCAGTGTCAGGCTCAGAATGCATACGATTAGAAGGCTTTGCAGAATAGCAGCATCTTCCAAGGGCAGATGGCAAATTAGACAAGCGAGAATTAACAGACCCAGGAAGCAGCACGGCATAAACTTTCTTTTTGAACCATTCTATTTAAATTAGCAGGCTAAATCCCAGCCTGTCCAGAGTCTCCCACCCTGCTTCTCCAAGAGTCACACCTGGTGTGGGCAGGAGGCCAGTGAAGTCCCCCGGGCACCTCATTCAAGTCCACTGCTCATGGAGATGACTTAATTTCTGGGCCAACTGGCCCTCAACCTCTAACAGAACAGGAAGTCCAGTCCAATCGGTGGTAACCAAGATGGAGATTTACCCTGGGTGCTCTCTACTCCCTCACAGCCCCATCGTCACGTGCCTGAAACAAAGCTCCATTTGTCCCATGGAAGGGAGGCAGCACAAGAACTGGATACTCCAGCCAGAATCAGAAACAACCTTAAATCCACAGAGCAGAGGCTGGGCAAGACGTAAGAGGGCTCTGAGAAGTCAGAGTTACTGGTGAGCCTTGTTATTTCCCTCTACCTTTGGTGGTGAGGTCCTGGGGGATGGATACAAAGGAGGGAAAATATGCCTCAGTGCCAGTATCTCTGTCTCTGTCTCTCCCTTAGGAACTGAACCCAAAGCCTTGCACATGCTACATAAGTGCTATACCACTGAGCTACATCTCTAGCCATTTTTTAAATTTTCTTTTGAGAGACTCTCACTAAGTTGCTCAGGCTGGATTTAAACTTGGAATCCTCCTGCTTCGATCTACTGAGTAGATGGGATTACAGGCCTGTGCCACTGCACCTGCCTCTAACTACAGATACTCAAACACTTTTCCACCCCACCTTGCAAAACCAAATACACAAAACAGATGCCTGGGTCACTCCCCTGCTCTCTTTCCTACACCTTCCCCCTTTGTTATTTCCCCTATTTCCTATACAACAGTCCAGAAGCTTGATGAGCCATTAAAGAAGATGCCTTAACCACTTTACCGTGTACAGCCCTGAACCCCAGTTATGCCTCATCCATCCATCCATCCAATAAGCAACCAAGCTCTCCTATGTTTTCTTGCCTTCTCCTAAAACCTCCAAAAGTGGAGGAAATTCTCTCTAATGAGTAAGCGGCAGAGGTCCAGACACACTTGCCTCCTCTTCCCTGTCTCTCTAACCCGACCTAAGTTGGTCCAGGAAACAGCTCTGCTGCTCAGGACAATGCCTCCAAAATGCTTCTCCATAGACACTGTCCCTAAACAGGACCCTGAATCATTAACTCTGGATAGAAATGGCTGACCACTGACTATTCCCTTCTCTCATCTCAGTTGAGTCACTGCAAGATCACAGCTCAACCTGAAATCCCCAGGCAGCACAGAAGGGCTGTCCAAGCCTTGTCAGAGAGCAGAAGACAGCGAGGACCACAGTACCACTGGTGCCTGCTATGCTGGAGTGGTGGCAGAAAACCACATCCCTCTCTGCCCACAGCAGCCATCAGACTGTGCCTCCCCAAAAGCTGCAGGCAGAAATGATACACGGCAACAGCTGGCTCTTCACTCCTCAGAGAGACTTATTCCACTTTGGGACGGTGCACGAGGAGGTGAGAAAATACAGGAACAACTTGCATGCTTCTTGGACAAATGAGCTAGAGCAAGGGACAGGGGTTGTATGAGGTAAAGTTGGGGCTGGGGCATCTTCCTTAACTGCTCACCTCATTTCTGGATCTCTGGCTCTGATTCCCCACTTCCCCAGCTCTGCTTCAGCTCTGGATGACTGTGGGTTACAAAGCTGTCATTTCCCCAGTGGTAGGGGATAAGGCCTCCCCCTCCAAGCTATTTTGCTATTTGAGGGCTCTCACTCCTATTCCTCCGGCTGTGGCCAGTTCTGCATGGCTACATAGCAAATGCCCCATTCCTAGGAAGGCAGCGTCTCTGTGGGTCTGAACATGGCTGCTGTCCCCCCAGAAATGCCACCCCAGCAAGTTGCAAGGAGACAACTATGAAAATGAGAGACCAGGTGGCCATCTCTTTGTAAGACTCCCATATTCTGAGAATCTGGAAGGTTCTCTCTCCGGGGGCCTTTTTTCTAATGTCCTCCAGCTCAGAGCGCAGGAGCAAGTGAGCACACAGGACACTGCTCTTTTTCCTTCACTGACGGGCCCTGAAACACAAGCTTTATTTGAGCAGAATCAAAGCTCCCCACTGAAGAGGATGAGAGCAGAATTAAAATGAATGTCAAAAATAAACCCAGCCCACACGAGACCATCCATTTTTTGTTGATCTTTGAGTTTGTGACCACTGTGCTGCTCTACTTGTGGAAGACAATTCTCTATGGAGCAATTGCATTGTTGGCTTTCTTCTGAGCAAGAGGAATAGACAGTTACAGACTATATTTCCAAGGATGTTTATATACCAAACGGAAGACTGAGACAGTGTCTCCCTCTTGGGCAGAGGCAGATTTGTTTCCTGACTAGGAATGATAAAGATAATATCTCCCTGTAGGACAAAGGTTGGACAGGTTTGCTAGCAGCCTCTGAAAAGACTGGGGTTTCCTAAGCTTGGGATGCTTAGCTGGGACACAACCCACAGTATATCCAGCTTCTACCTGGGACCACATGGCCCCATGAGACCTGTGAGCAAGAGGAGCCAGTGGAAACCTGAGGACATGAAGCATAGTCTTGGATCTTCTGCCACCATCTATGAAACTGGGGCTGTGGAACTTGTTGGCTTGCATTATAGACTGAATTCTGTCCCCTCAAAATTCATATGGTGAGGGCTAGGGATTAGGTCAGTGGTAGAATGCTTGTCTAACATGTACAAGGCCCTGGGTTCCATCTCCAGCACAACAAAAAATAAAAATCAAAATCATGTGGTAGAACCTAATCCCCAATGTATTAGCGCTGGTAGGTGGGGCTGTTAGAAGGTAACTAGGTCAAGAGGGCAAGAGGGCAGAAGCCTCAGGAATGAGATTAATGCTGTTATAAAAGGGACCCCAGGGCCGGGGATTTACCTCAGTGGTTCCAGTGCCTGCCTCTCAAGTGCAAGGTCCTGAGTTCGATCCCCGGTACCAAAAGAAAAAACAGGGACTCCAGAGAATTCCCTTGCCCCTTCAGCCACGTGAGGACACTGGGAGATGATGGATGTCTCTGACTCAGGAAACAGGCCCTCCTCACCAGACAATGAATCTGCCAGTGTCTTATTCTTAGCTCAATCCTAACAATAACCTTTGAAGTAGTGTAACTGTTGAGGGTGTTGTTCCTATTATCACACCACCATATCATCATTGTATATGGAAAAGAAAACCCCAGAGATCTCCTAACAGTTAAGTGACTTGCCTAAGGACACACAGACACACACCCAAGTAAGTAAGGAACAGTGCTTGTTGGGCTGTCCCACCTGAAAATAGAGGAAAGAAGCGATGCAGTTTCCCCCTTCACATGTTCTCAAGCCCCTTTGGATTTCAGTTCACCCAAGGGCCAGCCTTCATTCACTCAGCTACTCTGACGTGCTAAGGTGCTTCTTGAGGCCCTTTCTAGCAAACGTTCCCCAAATGGGACCCCACCTGCCCAAAAGAACAAGGCGCACCTGTGAGTGCCTCCTTGGGTTCCTGTTCTTCTGCAGCCCCCAGAGATGGCCCAACCCACCACCTCCACCACTGCTTACCCACAATATCTTCATAGGCATTCTCTTCTAAAGTGCTTTTGGATCCAAACTTAGGCTGGCTCTCAGTACCATTCTCAGTGGGAGAAGAGGGGTACAGGGACTGGAGACTGGATGCATCCTCAAACTCAAAGGATTTTCTGTGGATAACAAGAGCATGAGTCATTCTGCCTGAGCCAGATCTCTGCTGCTTTGCTGCAGAACAGCGTGGCACCAACAGCAAAGACCAAAGCCCCTCCTCATAAAACCAGCTACTGAGAAAAGCAGCAAGGTAGATTCAAACTTACCATCCAAACAAGGTGACAGATGGCCAGAAAGGCCCCAGCCTGGGTGTCTGCATGGAGTCTTATCCCTAATAATACCAATATTAGGTAACAATAACCACCACAAAGCATGCTATGTGTCAGGTGCTGAGTCCAATGCACCTTTACATGTATCATCTCCTTAACCTTCACAATAGTGTTAGCAGTTATTGTGCCATTTTACAAATGAAGAGACTGAATTGACAGAGGCAAGACTTGCCCAGGCTGCCTGCCTCCAGAGCCTGAGCTTTAAACCACATCACTGGCCTCCCAACCCTGGAAAATACCCTCCTTGGGAGGAGTCTGCCATTCCCACAGGAACGGAGTGCCTGCCCTGCCCCCTAGCAAGGACTCTGCTACTGCACTGGTCAGGCAGTGAGGACTCCACGCTGGAAGGACATGCGCAACGGCACTGCAGGGGCTGGGGAAGCAGCTGGCACAGGGTGCTTTGTTGAAAAGGAAGGAGTCAAGACCTCTTCTGAGCTAGAGCTAGGAAAACAATCTGCAGTGTCTTCCCTCCAGCTAGCTCCCTGCTCCTTCCCATCCCCAGATAACCTTTCCTCCACTGCAGAATTTCAATCACAGGTGGCTGAGTCCTGAGGCCTGGCTCCCATTTACTGAGACCACAGCACTGCTATTTTGCTGCATCCTGTCCTTCTCCAAGGCTCCTGGGAGGAAGACAAGGAGGAACACTAACAGACTCCCTCCTCTCATCCATGAACACTTCCCTCTTCCGGTGATGTCCTTTCTCTCTCCGCTTACCAAACAACTCTTCCTGAGAGTACTGGCGTGCAAGTCACGGACTGAAAATATCCTAAAAGCCCCGTCATGCTCTTAGCTTGCGGCATTCAACACAACACCACACGCTAAGGCTGGCATTCTCCTCCACTGCCTCCTAGGTTTCAGCTACTTCTGTACCAATTATGTTTCAGGCTCTCTGGAAGAATTCTCCTTTTTCTACTTGCCTTTAAATGCCAGCATCTCTCAGACTTCTGCCTTCAGAATATTTTTTTTAACTCTGTACCTTCTAGCAGCCAAATACCCATGGGCTATCACTGTACCTACCACTTGCATCTTGATGACTCACAAATTTGTCTTTGGCCTAGACTTCTCAACTAGTTAAATAAACACCCAATGGCCTAGTGTGGTGGTTCCCAAATGCTGGTGTGAGACCAAATTTCACTGGTACATATAGTGGCATCAACATCTTATGCAGGCAGTTTTCAAGTCCATAAATGACACACATCATGTTCAGCCAAATTATCCTTGAAAATCCCTGAGGAAGGTACAATATTGAGAACTCCAACATACTACCTCTCTTTAAGGCTAATATTGTCAATTTTTTCACCCTTTTGGGGGAGGGTACTGGGGACTGAACCCAGGCCTTTACACTGTGCTACATCTGCAGCACCTTTTTAATTTTGAGACAGGATCTTGCTAAGTTGTCATGCTGGGCTCAAACTTGTGATCCTCCTGTCTCAGTCTTCCAGAGTGCCAGGATTACAGACATGCACCACCACGCCCAGCTTCCCCTATATTTTTCAACAGATTTCTTTTTCTTTGATTGAATACCAGAAGAAATATTTGGATTGCGTTTTTTTAAAAACAAAGAAATATATCAGAATGACACCTGGCATAACAAGATAATAGACTCACCACCTCACACCCCTCAGGGAACATGCTTGCCATGTGGAAAGGCAAACAGAGCAGCTCGCACTTTCTAAACTGCCTCTCTTTTCTCAAAGAGCACAGACTGAAGTTGGTAGTGACTGCACTATACAAGGTCTGTATGTATGTACACTACATGTAGATGTGACATGTGGGGACATAAGTAGAACCAGAAGGTTAAGGAACTCCTCCCCACCACTTTTTCTTGTTACCTAGCTGGCCTCTGCTCCTCTAAATTTATCTTAGCGATTCCCTCCATAAAGGACCTCCTCCAACTCCTGCCCCCCAGCCTAATTTAGATGCCACTCCTCTGAGTCTCTGCAGCATCCACACTGACATAGATCATGGCATGTATTACAGCTCTGGTTTATCTGTGCACCAGACCATGAAGTGCTTGAATGGAAGAACCATGTCTTATTCGCCTTTGTGTCCCTTTAACCAGCATAAGGCTTGGTGCATAGCAGGTTCTGGATGGGTATTTATAGAAATGGATGAATAAGGACAAAGCAAATACTCTTGGCAGGCTGGTAAAGAATTAAAAAGTCAGTAAGCATTCTAGGGTGCTTAAAATGGGATTATGCTTAGCCATGGACTGTTTGGCTCAGGCTTCTGTACCTTTTTTTTTTTTTTTTGGTACCAAGGATTGAACTCGGGACCTTGCATTTGCAGGGCAGGGGGCGGAACCACTGAGCTAAATCCCCAGCCCAGGGGTCTGAACCTTTGATTGGTGCTCTCTGCATACGGCAGGGAAGTTTATATATAAGATAGGATATGTTGAGTGAAGGCTGAAGTATGGAAGAGACTGAAGAATCCCCAGAAGTGAAACAAACATGAATGCTCATACAACATGAGAAAGACAGGAGAACAGGTCTTGCAAAGGAAGCTGGCTTCCAGTCTACCCCAATTCAGAGAACAGATGCCTGTCAATTTTCACCAACTCCAGAGACTCTCGCTACTAAATTACTCTGGGGAGATGGCCCTGGTAGTTCAGGATCAGAAATGCTAAGACTGACCTACAGGAAATCAATGGGCGCCTTGAACATGGCCAAGAAGCAGGTAAAATATTCTCCCACTCCTATTTCAGTCCGTCCCTTCTTTTAGAATTCAAGAATCCCCTCTTAAAACAGCCCCAGGGTCCCTTATGTCTAAGAGGCCCTGCAGAAGAGCAGGATCATATTAAATCTGCCAATACTACTGTGTTAATGATACAATACAACATTCAGATTATGCTTCCCTTGAAGAAGTTAATTTCTAGTGCCGGTACTTCAGATAGTAGCGAGGCTAAGATCCTGCTAGTCCTCAAAAACTGAAAAATTACCTACTCAACCTAAAAATAAGGCAACTCTAATCTTCCCATGAAGGATTAAAGAAGCTCCAACAGGGCCTGAGACACAGCCCAGCTTTATCCCAAAGGCCAAACCCAGCCATTGTGTTCAGAACACAGCAGTGGGAAGAGTAGTTTGCACATTTCCATGCCTAAGTATCCTGTAAGAACAAGAGAACACTCTTATTTTTCACTACGACTACCAAATTAATGATTATTTTGCTTCAGAAGTAATTAAGCACTCCTGTGACCCATATTACAATCTACTTTCGCATCCTTCTTTAAAAGAAAGGCACTGTGCCCCACTGTAAAACACAGGAGGGCATGCATTACCTGCTCTGGGACTTGCGGTGACCACGTATGTCCTTCTTGAGTCTCCGGGTGACTGGTGGGGCTGGAGTGGAGGGCAAAGGGGGTGGAGCAGCAGGTATGGGCGAAGGAGGTAGACCATTGCTTGGCTTACTCTTGGGGTTCTTGTCAGCCTCATATTCAAAGGTGCGCTTGGGTTTGGGGACAGGATTCACAGCAGGATCAGGGGAGCTCTTTGATGGCACCAGCTGGGAGCTAGGACTGTTTCCAGGGGGCCCTGGCTTGCTGGAACCACTGCCTTCCCTCTCCAGGGGCAGGCCCGCCTCCCCCCCACGTCCAGCCACTCCTACTGCCCGGCTGCCAGCGCTCACACCCATGCTCCCTGCTGGCTCCTCCAAGGTGCCCAAGACTGCAGTCTTCCTTCTCCCATGGTCTACACTGTAGCAGCTACTGGGGAGCTGGGGGAGGCCCCCACCTGGCTGCTCCTTCAGGACCTGTTCAATTTTCTGGATCCGGCTCAGCACTGCTGAGCTCTCTTTCCTGCTGCCATGCCCCCTGAGGAAGGCACTGGGCTCACTCCGGCCTGGCCGCTTCTCCAGCCAGTAGAAAGAGTCCCGGACAGAAAGTGTCTCTCCCTCCTCCTCGGTCTCAGGGTAGGAACACTCAGAGAAGGTCCTGCTCATCCTCCGGAGGCCCTTGAAATCAAAGGTCTTGTCTGAGCTGCAGGGGGATGGCACCACGCTGGGACAGCCCACACTCGGGCAGCCCTCACTGACTGGATGCTCGACCCCAGAGCCCTCCCGCTTCTCTCCACACAAGCTCATCTTGGGCAAAGTCTCTCGGCGACCTTCCCATGCTGAAATCTTCTCTCGGATGCCCAGGTTGTGGGCACGGGCACCAGAGCGGGTCAACAAAACACTCCGCAGGCCAGCTGCCGGCCCTAGGAATGGGGTGCTCTGGGCAACAGGGAGGCAAGCAGCTACTTCCTCTACATCCTGAGCTGCAACCTGGACATTCTCCTTCTGGTCCTCTCTCTTGCACACTGAAGGGCTTCTGTCCAAATAACCAAAGCTGGTGGCCTTGAGGGAACAGATGGGTGGTGAAGAATCTAGGGAGAGATCTTGAGGATTCTGGGGTGAAAGGTCACGGGGACGCCAGTCCTTGAGGAGCACTCGAGAGCTGGAGTGGCTGGGGTACCTGCAGGCTGAGGCTTCACTATCACTGAGGGGGTAGATGGGACTCCTCGGTGGGGACAGAACTGGAGGTGGAGAGACTGACTGAGACCTGGGAGCAAGAAAGAAAAGAAGGAAAATAAAATGGTAATGAGTGATCTAATAACCAGAAGCATCATGCTCTATTCTCAGAGAGCTCAGTGTCTCTTTCCTGAGTATTCTCAAAGTCAAAAGTACTCTGTTCATATTATGTGCCTTCAAGGCAGGCTTCAGGGACAGAAGCAGCTCCTTAGCCATAGCAGCCCAAACTCAGTGTGCCTCTCTGCTTGGCTCAGTCCGAGACCCTGAGGAATGCCTGGGGCAGAAGCCTCCTCTGTGACAAGATGCAGTATCCTCAGAGTCTATGGGGGCTGGGGGGGTAGCTCAGTGGCACAGCGTCTGCCTGGCAAGTGCAAGGTCCTCAGTTTGATCCCTGATACAAAAAAAAAAGTCTACAAGGTGTGATAGAAAAATATAGTGCACACGTTTAAATTTTTTAAAAAATTATTATAGTAAAAACTGCCATTAATCCCCCCAAAAGCTGTGAACACAATTACCCCATCATTCTAGCCACTTTCTGAAGCAATTTTAGAAGACTTTTCTCATGAGTGTCTTCAGTTTAGTTGTCATGGTTGCCTTAATATCCTGAATTGATTCAAAACTTTTACCTTTCTTGGTCATTGGGAATTTGGGGAAGAGCCAGGAGTTGCATGGTGCCAGATCTGGTGAATAAGGTAGATGAGGACACACTGCAGTGTTTTTATAAGCCTGCCTTTTTTTCGGATAGCACTCAGAAGCAGCATTCACTATATTTCTTATCATACCCCTATAGACACTCACAAAAGAGCACTTCCAGAACTGCTTCAGAAAACAGCAAGAATGACGGGGTAAGAGTGTTCAGGGTGGAGGGTGTTTTGAGAGATTAATGGCAACGTGTCTTTTATTCTAATAATGTTTTTAAAATATTCAAACAATCACTGTATTTTCAATTACTCCTTGTGTATCTGCCAACAAAAGAAGAGTGGAAAGAAGAATGTGCTCCTAAACGGCTAACAATTGCCTCTCTGGGTCAAAAAGCAGAGCTTGGGAGTGTTGCCCATTTGCCGATTTCTATTATGTCTGAGGAAGCAATGTGATTATCACTGAAAATAGAAGTTGAGAAGAGCTGTTAATGATCAACTGTTATGAGCTTCCTGAAGTGGCCTAAAATATATATGGGCCATATCTTTCCCCTTAACCACTCCCTCTCTCCCCTAAGACTGTGCTACTGGACACAAAACCCACTCCCTCAGCTTGGGTACTGACCAGAATTAGGATTTACAAGTGTCTTAAAAAGGTTAAGAGGGTCCCTCAATAAAGAATCCTTTCCACTCCATCAGGAGGCCAATAGGGCCGGGACACCAACTCCTTAGGCAACTCCACAGTACAGTAGGGACATCATATCCAGTAAGCCCTAGCCATTCCCCAGCTCCAAATCCATACACAGATCTCAGCAAATACCAAGAATAGTTCTAAATAAATGGTTTTACATGTATCAACTCATTTAATCTTCACATAAATTCTCTGAGATTATCAGGTATTATTATCTTTATCTTACAAATGAAAGACACTAAGGCACAGAAAGGTTAAAT